ACGTCCGCGGATACGTGGATGCTGGTAATCGATTGGCGGTTCGCCGCGAGTTTATTGAGATTCTGGACGTTGGTCAGGAACAAATCCCGGCGGACTGTCGTTTCCAGGCCTCGCCGTCTCTATCCTCCGCCTTCTCCTCGTCCTCCCACGACGAAACTCTGTACTCGAAGACCTCATCTCGGGACGAATATCGAACGGTTTTCCGATACTTTCGGCCTTTCGGATTGTGACTTCTTCCTCTCCTCTTATTGTCCGCGCGATTTGTACCGAGGACACGACGGCGCAATATCCAGTATTTCGCCGCCGTGTCATTCTTTTCTGCCATTGTCCGGCTTTACGAAGCCCGTGGAATTCTGACGGAAGCGAAGTGACGGCTATTGACTGCGAGATTAAGCGATCCTTTCGCGACGGCTATGCGACGTAAACATTCGTGCTCGTACGCCCTCACGCTCGCCGATAAATCGAATTTAGCTCGGGAGCCTTTGTCCAGTTGCCATAAAAATAATGAATGGCCGCGGGAGGATAAATTGAAATCGTTAAGCGCATGGGGTGGGGTAATAACTCGCTAGAATTAACAATTGTTGTCGGATCATTAAATCGTATTGGACGTTTATCTAGCAATGATCACGATAGGACTAATTTCGGTACTGAAACTCACGACTTGAAAGCCCTCTTGAAACCTTTTTAATCCCGCGTCGGCGCAGTCTTCGTTACCTAAAGAGATTTTTTATTTAATTTCCTGGATGGAAAAATTAATTTCTCCGGCACTAATCCCCGCAACCTTTCACCTTATACTCGTAATATTGGATGCTTGTGCTTAGGGAGTTCCGAGAAGGTAGAATTTCGTTTACTTTTCACGGTTTTTGGAGTTTCGATATTAAATGGTTTGCCAACTCGTTACAGAAAACGAGCTTCTATAGACAGTACGTCGTATTATTTCTGCAAATGTAAAAATATACGTGCGAGAGAGAGAGAGAAAGCAGGTGCTCGGATATCTGAAATAATATTTATCGGAAGATACCTTTTCCTAAATCATTTTATTCGCTCTGGCAATTGTAAAGTTATACCATCACATAAATATTTATCATCGATACTTGCTACATGAAATATTTTAATCGCAATAAAATAACTCTCGTGTTATCGTTATTGAAATCGTCGTCGAGGAATACAATTGTTACACACCCAGGAAAAGGATTCAGTTAGGCTAAACAAATGAGATATCAAATTTCTTTGAATCTACTCAATTTATATTTACTTCTACTCACTACACTGAGAGAAAAAATAGTCATTTTTACAAAAAAAATAGTCATTTTTGGAGCCAACCATATTTTTTATAATTCCTCCAACGTAAATTATGGTTGACCTAACAATGTGATAGTTCTCATAACCACAATATTGGTTGTCATAAACCAAAATATGGTTGGCTCCAAAAATGACTATTTTTTTTTCTCTCAGTGTACTGGAACATTTGCTAGATTTGAAGAAAGAGACATGAATTCTCTTAGAAATTCCAGTCTCAATGAAATACAATTTTAGTTAAGATAAGTCTTTTCTTTTTAATTAAATAAAAGTCTAGTATAGGGTCAAAATTTCCACAAATTTGTTTGCTTTCAAACTTTTTTCTGGGTGCACAGCATCATCTATTGACCGACTTCTCGCCCCGTGGGGAGTGTTGCGACATCCCCGCGCGATCGTGCATTTGGCAACGGCCGTAATTTTTTTTCGCGGCTCGTGCACGTACACCACGTACGAGCGTGTAGCTGGGAACGAAAACGTGGGCCGTGGGCTTTGTCGGTGCGCGCCGATCTCCATTGTTGGAAGACCGAATTGCAGAACCGAGCTCTCTCTGCGCGGATCCTCTCGAGTCGAGAGTCCAACCGCGTTACAAATTTCATGCTTGTACCTGCCCACCGCATTGCACCACGGCCCGAGCGGCTTCCTTCCTGTCTGAATTATCCAACGTTGACGTTGGAGGGCGGCTAGAATTTAATTGGCGAGAGACTGTGATCCCGGGAATGTCCAACGAGCATTCCTGAATTTCGAGCATAATAAATTTGGCAAATGTGCGTAGCAGGTCGTGACAGAGTCCAAAATCTCGAGAATATATTCTTTACATTTCTAATAGCGAACTCGGTTGCTCGCACTAGTGCGCGTTGAGTGCGCACCAAGGCCGGTATTCATAGTCAGATCTTCTATTCAAGACCGTCTTGAATTTATCTAAAGATGCTATATGGAACATTTCATTGACTACGGAGTATCTAAAGATGATCTTAAGACAGTCTTGAATATAAGATCTGATTATGAATGCCGGCCTCAGACTTCATTACAGTTAATTCTTATATTTGAGAATCGTTTTAAATACTTTTTAAGGCCTGTGTCCACGATGCTAGAACTTGGTCCAAGTCAGTCAGTAAAATAATCTATGTAGTATCCGTACGATCATTTTTACGGCTGAGTGGTTTTTGAACATGTATTTAAGGCGATCTTTAATAAGAATTAACTATGAACAAGTCTTATAATGCACTCGGTGCGTATTGGTGCACGCAACTGAATTCGCTGTAAGTTTCACATTCTTCGTCATTGATATCGAGTCTTCTTAAACGATGCTGACGTCGGGATATCGGTTAAATCTACCATACATTTTACAATTAGAGTGCATTTTCAAAATTTTCGGATTTTTTTTATTATAGAGGAAAATTCCTTATTATGGTGTAGGCTCCTCATATGAGACAGCGGAGTTTCTGCTAAATTAATAGGCGTCATCTGTTGATTCCACTAATTTATTGCCCTTGGAGTGAAATCTGTTTTTGTGGAAAATTGATTGTTAGATCGTGTAATCGTTGCGAAAAAAGATTTGTGATTGAATTTGGACGTTGAAAGCCTACTGTCTCATATCAGAATCGTATCGCATAATAGAAAACTTTCCTCTATATTTTTTTATATGCACAACGTTTAGCGCATTTAAAGATCCTTCCATCCGACCGTCAAGCAGTCACAGAAAAGAGGAGCAGAGATATTTCGCTCGTGACGGCATTTCAAATAATCGTGCCCCAACAGTACGAAGACGCGATCGCAATGTGGATCTCGGTTATCGATGACACGCGCCATTTAGAGTCCGCTATAGCAACTAGTGTCAAACGAAGAGCGGCTCTACTTGCCGTCTCTGTAGCGAAGATGCGATCGTTCGTCTGCTAATGTGTGTTCGGTTCCTATCTCCCGACGGAGATCTAAACGACTGAAAGAGAGAGATAGAGATTGAGAGAGAGAGAGAGAGAGAGACGGTCTATCGCTTCGTCAAATCGCCAACACGGTGCCGTGTATATTCAAATCGCGGTGGATTCGAAAGAGGTCGCGAAAGCTCCCCTTTGCATACTAAACGCCCGGCATTATCTCGACGCTGCACTAACGCTGCCAATACGGGAGGAGCGCAACGACACTCCGCCACGGTACGCACGATAGGCACACATGCCAGCATGATTATCTCATAATGGTTCCTGAATATCGAAGAAAGGTCACGCGACGGCCCGGAGAGCTTACGTTTCTTCCCGAAAACTTTCGTGGCAACAGGACTTTCGTCGATTTGCTGGCTAAATTTTCCTTCTTACACGGAGAGACTTTTCTCTTAAAATTTACCCTGAAAATCGTATGATCGTGAGACCACGTGGCACTTTGAAGAATTTTATGAGTCTTTTGACATTGTGCCATACATTTATTATAAAATTCTTCGAAATGCCGTGTTGTCCCACGATTACATAATTTTCAGGATAAATTTTGAAAGCACATTGTCACCGTGTACGTGCGAGAATTTACTGAAACTGGAATTGTCCAAGTTGACGATTTTCTTTTATAAACATTGATTAAACGATACTGAAGTATTTTATATTCTATATCTAATTTGCTTTTAAGCGGTGGAGCATTTTTAACGAATACCATAAAATACGTATATGCGTCTGTCATTTTATTCTCAGCTGTTGTGCACACGCAACTCAGAGTTAAGCGGCAAAGTTTGTATTTTCACAATCGCTAGATGAAACTTGTTAAAAAAGAGATAAAAGTTCCGGCTTATAATGACGTTGAGGTAGTTAAAAATATCAACAACTTTTTACCACGATACGCTTTTAGCCTCGAAATGTATTTTTGCGAGGCGTAATCTATTATAATCTGTTTATCATACGTGCAATGTTTCAAAGTACCGGATGACAGTGCAAAGGGAGTTTCTTTACAATCGGCATCAGTTTGAAATGAGATTATATTGCGTTATAGGAAAAAAAACTTACTTGAATGAAGCAATTTTATAGCAATTCAATCGAGAGAAATATATGCTTATTATTTAAGAATAATTTTCTTGAAAGGAAAGGAAACAATGTTGGATAGAAAATAACATATTTTCAAATCGAAGATTATAATGATAAAAATATTTTTATTGTCAAAATAATTACATGTATTCTTAAAGTGACAATTATAGTATTTAAATAAGACTGAAACATTATTGGAATGTGAGATTATTAAATGCTTCTGAGAGTTGCGTATATACAAAACAATGAATGTGTTAATTTGAGTATAATAATATAAGAGTTAATCTGACACTTATTTTTATCTGTGTATAAAATAAGGCTCATATATTTACGTGATCACTGTGATTAAAAACAAATTGGATTCGGTAGCGTAGAGTCATAGTTATTAAATCGAATTGTAAGCCACCGTGTGAACGTGGTTAGTGTTATATAATCTCACTTTGCCCTTAAGAAAGAGAACTGATTAATTGCTCGGTAACTGACAACATTGTATCAGTCCTTTCTCTCAAGGATGTTGAAACTTAACACGTCATACAATCGTGCCTTTGCCACCGGAAAGTTTATCTGAAATTTCTCAGGAGACCAGAACAACTCTCGAGACTAATCAGTCGAGCGATTTGCCGCCGATAGGTCCGCGTGCTTCAGCGGTGCATCGGGGTTTTGCGCTCGTGCCTAAAATAACCGGCGTGATGTGTGTTGTTTCAGGGGTATCTGGCAAGGACGTGAGCGGGTGGCCGAAGATCCCGTGTCTGAAAGGCCGCGCGTCCAGCAAAGGCGGAAGCGGCGCGGGAGGGCCGCACGCAGGTCCGCCGCAGTGTCCGCACTCAGTTTTGAGCAGCACCCGCAGCTCCGTGAGCAGCTCGCCTCTGAGCCCGTGCCCGACGCCCATGCCCTTCCTGGTGACCTCGGGCTCCGTCAGGTGAGTACGGCTCGTTCTCTGATACACGTCGTACACGTTGCCCGCTCGGTGACGTGCCTAATACCGCGATTCGATTTATTAACGCTGAGCTTGGCGAGACCGAGAGCTTTTGAACTGCGTTATAATAGAAAGTATAAATCACTACAAATGTCAACTGGCGCAAAAATAGGACGCGTCCGCGAAGTTTGGTATTGGGTCTTGGAAGCTCCGATCGCGCGCCGTGATATTTCCTTCGTGTTTTTCTTGTAAGTTCACCTTCCTCCTCTTCTACCGAACGTAGAGCTACTTGCCGCGTGGTTGTCGCGAGTGAAGCTAAATCTAACTCGAGTTCCTCATTAAAGAAACATGGCGAGAGGCAATTAGCGATGCTAAAGGTCCTCTGCAATTACGTAAATTCGCAGAACATTACTAAGTTCCGTTTTCGACATAACAACGGCACTGGTTGTCGTTCGCGTAAAGGCCACGTCCACTCGAAATAGGTTTTATGTATATTTTATCAGACATTATATCCAGCCGTGAGACAAACATAGCTCGGTAGTGTAAGCCGGCAGTAGTCGACGTACGTTTTAATTCATTGCTGATCTATTGTAATTTCTTACTACGTACGTCAATCGTCATATTGATTCCATCATTTCCATCTAGCGTGACTGATGAGACGTAATAACTTTTCTATGACTCATTGTCAGTCGTGAGAAAGAAGATCATGCCGGTAAAACATTTTGCGTTCACTGTAAGTCACGCTTGATAATCCGTTTGTCAATAATTTAATAAATTCATAATTATGTAACATTTAACCGACCGTCTTGAGCAATGAATTTGAAGAATTGTTTTTCCGCGATATTGAATTTATTTATTCAACAATTTCCTTTTTTCCTCTGAAATCAAAATAATTACAGCAGCGTCGCTGCATTTGATATTAGGGTAATTTCGCATGATAATCGATAAAAGTATGGTGATTAAGACTTCCTCCAGTAGTAATTTTGCTCTTAGACATTAACGAGTTGTTAACTTTTAATTGCGATCTTCTGCACTCGCTATAACAGTTATTTCCGCCATAATGATTTTCATCAATATATTGTTAGTGCGAGTCAGCGGAAACTTCTTAATGTCACCTCGTTGTGAGAACTTGGCGAAACTAATATTGTGCTTTTATACTTGCAAATTTTTTATATAAATGCATAGAGCTAAATTTTGAAGCAGTAACCTTAAAATGTTCTATATAGAAAGTACGAAATTATCATAGTGATGTACATACGAGGTTTCCTGGTTGCCCTCTCGTCTTTTTTTATGCGACTAAAATATTCTACGCTGTTTAAGGTTAAGCCGTTAAAGTGATGCAAAACAGCGGGATAAGTGCGCTATAATTTTACGATGCATTTCTGCCGACTCATAAATTGGAACAAACATATTACAGTAGATAAATAGAATAAGAACGGGAGGCAGAGAGAGAGAGAGAGAGAGAGAGTGCGCTCTTCTCTAGTGCGATGTATGAGCCGTCGTTAATCGCGTAGGGATTAATCGCTGAAGGGACGAAGCTGTTTTGCTCGGAGTTATCAACTTTCACAAAACTTGCTGTTCAGCTTACGCGAAGTTTCGAATATTCTCTCCAAAGATGGTGTGCTTTTAATCTCAAAACGCATTAGTTGTGTCTACGTACGTGGCTAAACAAATGGATTTTAATTTTTTAATGTACAAATGTAAATCCGCGCCTCCGTCGCGAGTTAAACTTTTTCGTTCACGACGGAGATTTTTCCGAGAGACCTTCGTCTAACGGATACCGCTTCGCGCGCACGAGAGAGAGAGAGAGAGAGAGAGAGAGAGACAGTCGGTCTTTCCGAAAAGTTCGCGAATTTAGCGGATGTGAACGGAATAGCGAGTTTGTCGGATATAACTTCGACATCCTGACATGCCCGGTCGGGTCTGAATGAATAATTCATGGCGTCTCTCAAAGCATTCAGGGCCCCTGCTGCAATATCGATAACCATCCACTTTGATCAACTATTTCCCGTCCTGTCGTCCGATAATCGTTTCGCGAATTCCCGCGGCACGAAAGCGAGACACGTCGAAATCCATCGCGGATAAGCAGGCTGGCTTCGTCCATTAGCTCTCTACACGATGATAAATGTTTCTATGCGCTTCTTATGCATTTTATTTTACCTTTGCCCGCACTTATACGAAGTATTTGTTTTCAAACCGATTTAATAATTTTAATCAATTTGAAAGATTTTCTGTTTAACCGTAAATAATGAAATCTGTAATAGCTTTCTGCGAGTCTCAAAATACACACACGGTAAGAAGTAAAGTGCTTTATTTAGTTCCACATAAATAGATTTTAATTCCGTACAATTTTAATTTTAGAATTTAATTGTCGAAATATTCAACGTTGAAAACGTAAAAACGGCGGAACATTTTTCGCGAAGCGAGGGGAAAAAAACAGATTAGTCAGACTTGATTCCGTTTAATCAATGACGTGATACATGTTTTTTTCCCGAAAAAAAAAACTGATATTTTTGAGGACATCGCTCATTTCCTACATATCTTACGTGTCAATCGCGTTTGGTGAAATTGTACGAAGAAATCTCTTATGCCGGTCACGCTCGTGGTCGCGTTTTAATCCTTAAAATAGTCGCGGCTCTTAGTAGAACGTGGGACAAGAACGAGACGTTCTTTTCGCGTCGGCGAAGGGCACAGATGTCTCGCGTGTAAAGGCAAATTGAGCGCGTAGGTGTGTCTATAGACCACCCTATCGAACTTATCGATTAGCTCTTTGCTCTCAAATTCAGGGGGCTTTTCGTCACTTGACAAATGTTAACGGCGCGACGAGGGAGAGGCAGAAAGAGGGCGGGGAGAGATGGCTCGTGTATGAAAGCCATATATCTGTTATAAGCCGTAATACGCGCGCGGGTTTTTTCACATGTCAGCCTGTAGATTTTTCCCGGCTCTCTCTCTCTCTCTCTCTCGCTCTCGCTCTCGCTCTCGCTCTCGCTCTCGCTCTCTCGGATCTCTCGTTTATATGGGAAGTGCGGAATCCATGCGTTACGCATTTTCGATGAAAAATATCCACGGCTCCTTTTTTTTTACATCGGCGACAGGAAGCTAATCGCGTTTCGACACAAAGGCGAGTCAGTTCTCCACGCGAGTCGGAGCATTTGTAACGTTTTTTTCCTCTCAAAGGCATGTGTGATCGAAGTTGGACTTAATAACGCGTTTCGGCGCGTACGAATGCGAGGGTGATTAACGTCTTGCGTGTGGCATTAATCACGGCTTCGTAACGATCCGGTAGAACCTTGCTCGGCGCAACCAAGTGTAAAGTTCTCTAAGAGCCATTAGAAAAAAAGTAGACGCGTCATCCCGCGATCATTAGGCGTATTTAATCGGCGGCTGACATACCCGAGCAAATTGTAGCGTGTACCGAGATCGCGTGTACTCGCGAGTGTCGGGAGTTTCTCGCTCGCTCTGCTTATCCTTTACGAATTTAACAGATTTCTCAAAATTTTCGCACACCAATGTTTTTTTCGCACGTAAGATAAAATAAGATAATAAAATAAAGTAATGCCCGCTGGGCATTAGTGGGCGTTGGTGCACGAGATTTTGGTCAGCGGTTTCCCCCTCGCATTTCTCCCAAAGACCGTCGCACGGTTTCACGTTACTCAAGAAAGCTGTAGCGCCGAACGTTTCTGCGATAATTTGGACGATTTCAAAGATTACGCGGGAACTTGGGAGAATTGGTTTACCTCTCCGAGGGACCGCTTCATCTCCCGGAATCTACATTCGCGCAAAGTTTCAAATCTGCTCGAGTTCACGGGTCGCCGAACTTCTCTTGTTAGTCTACCGTTGGTCCGAGCCCCTCGGATAAGTGATTCGCTTGTATTCCGCAAACGTAAGAACAAAGTTGAGTCACACTCGGTGACACCGTTCGGGGAAGAGGAGGGGGAGAGAACTTGGGGAAAGGGTTAAGACAGACGAGCCGCTCCGTGGGCTCCGTGGACAGCCTAATTGGCAATTAACCGATGTCCATGTTCCAGTAGCGGCATGGTGCAAAGCGTTGGGGCCAATCTATCGCCGGACCAAACGTTCGGATCGATCCGGTCGCTCTCGGTGACGAGGGAAGTCGCCAGCTTCCCCCTATCGCGAACGCCCACGCCGCCCCCGCAGCACAGGTAGGTAAATTCCGTTCATTTTACTTGATTCCGATGCGCCAAACAAAATACCGAAATAAATTGGGCGCCCCCGCAAAAAAAGCGGCTCCTAATTGGAGTAAATGGAAATTGGCGACGCGAAAATTATTTATTTGGGCTACATAATGGTACAATAAATCAATACGAGTTGACAAATTCCGACGAGATTCCAACGGTTCCATTTGTTCGCTCGTCAATGATAAAGGTAGCAATTTAGTCGATAAAATGCATGAATTGTCCGCCATTGTTCTTTAACCCGCACAGTCCATGAGATCGGCAGGTCTCGTTTTATTTCTTTAGAAAGACTAAATTTCCTATTATAAGAAATCTAAATTAAATCAATTCGAAAATCCTAACTGCGAATAGATGCAAAAGAAAAGCTCAAGTTACCCAGAGCGAGCTTATCTGAAATTTCAATTACTAGAAGCCCAAATTAGATCAATAAATACACATCACATCTTGTAACAAATTAAAAAGTCCTGGCGAGTAGATGAGAACGAAAGGCTCGAGTTACCTGGAGCGAGCTTATCTACTCTCTAAGAGTCAATCAGTGGATCGTCACTGGGACCAGTGAATATTCACCGGTTCACAGTGACGATACTGACCGATTCGCAATGCGCTGGTTGACTTTTAGAGAGTAAGAGCGCACGAGACACATTTATCTTACGGACCCGACGGGTCGCCGCGAGGCGAACGCACGCGTACTCACGAGACGAATGGCGGTGGTCGTTGCAGACCGTCGGCAGTCTTGGCGACAAACCCCGAGGAGCTGGTGGGCGTCGGTAGCCCCATGAGGGAGGCCTCACCCAGGCCGGAGGTGCGCGTGGTCGCGCCGTCACATCGGCCGACGTCCGCCCTGGCCGCGACGAACGCCGGCCACCACGCCGTCTCCACGGCGAGCCGCAAATCCGTCAGCATACTGCTACCCGAGCAGAACAGTGGATGACAGCAACAACAGCAACAGCAGCTGCTGCAGCAGCAGCAGCAGCAGCAGCAACACGGCTTCGTGCACCGTTGCGACGAGCAGCCGCTCTCGATCTGAGGAGCGTCTCACTCGTCGGCGAGAGGACGCGGTGATGATGAGGACTACTCGCGTCTCGCGTTACACGCCGATCCGATTCGGGTAACTGAGAATTAATTGATCTCGTCGCGCGTCTCGGGCACGGTCTCCGCGTGTACCGGTGCGCCGGGTAAAACCTGACGGAGGCGAGTGATTGATGGCTGGTTAACGTCGATTAACGTCAATCGCGCGAGTCCGACCGGACTCTACCGTATTGAGAGCCCCGGCCGCTTTAGATCGCAATCGACGGGGAGATCCAACCCCCGAGGGGTTGGACTATCCGTCGACATTGGGAAACAGGGGACCTCGCGATGGCGGCCATCGCTTTTTTGTCGCTTGATTAACGACACTCCGCGCGCACCGATACTCCAATCGATCGTGAATCATCATTGCTTATACGGAGGCACTGCCCGATGGTATCTCGGATCAGAAACCGTGCCCGGTGTCTCCGCAGTCCAATGCTCGATGGGCAAATTACATCGCGCAGGCTTATTACGTAATTGAAAAAAAAAATTAATCGCTGGGAATTTCCCAGCGCTGTACAATAGGATTCGAGAGGTGGGAGGCGACGATTGAAAAATTGTGCGTTTCCAAGCCGCGGTGAATCGATCGCGCCTCGGTTCATACCTGCTGCATCATTCGAGCGCTATTGTGCATTATTAATAATGTAGAGAAGTACACAGCGCGCGCTACTGATTAGAGGTGCTATTTGACACGCATGTCTTAATCTTCGAAAATTGCACGTTCGCGTGCATCGCGGTGCAAAACGGATGTGCTGCGTGAATGGAAATCTACCAAGTGGATAAAAATATCAAACTACGGTTTAAGAATTCATCTTTTGCCTGGAAAGCAAATAAAAAATGAATTTTCATTCGAGAAAACCGGTACACTGATACGCGTTCGTACCACGTCGCTCGTTATTTAATTAAAAGCACGTCGGTGTTTATTTTATACGTAACGAAATTCGCGTGTTTTGCCATAGGAAGAAAAACCCATTTTGCAAAGTAGACTTGATTCGCGGCGCTTTTAAAGTCGATGCCGCGATGGGGCGAGTTGGGTAACATTTTCTTTTTAACAAAATCAAAATATTAGCAGTTGTAACAAAAATACGCAAGTATCTGCGCGTATCGAATTTTTCAAACATCGTTATCTCTCGCACGAAAGCGAAAAGGAACAAATACCTGAGCTGTTACTTTGAATAATTTTTCTAATAAGGAAGAAGCTATAATTTATTTATTATATTATATAATTATATATATTATATAATATAATATAATAATATATTAGACAGATTATTCTGTGTTACAAGAACTGAGTTACAAATCGTTAATGTTTACCTCGCATTTAATCGCGAGATCGTAAACTTGCGCGCGTGTTCGCGAATTAGTACCGCGCGCGAACATTGTTTGCCTCTTCGCGCATTAAGGACCATTCTCAGCGGTACGTGGCGTCCCTCCCTCGCGCATCGAAAGGGCTAACGTATGGCAGGGAGACACCCAGCACGGTTTCGCACTATCAGCGCATTAATTAAGTCTCAGTTATTCTCGACTCGCGTCGAGCGATGCGCCTTCCTATTTACACTACCGTCAAGCTCCACCGTCTCGAACGTTTACAATCCCGGTAGATATTCGTCGCAACGGGGCGCGTTTCTGGCCAAAAGTAGTCCTTAAGGTATCCTCGCGCGATTCATCCCGTCTCCTCCGAGACATCAGACACGATCCATCGAAGTGAGAGAGGTCGAGATCAATCCGAGTCCCCTCCTCCCTCGTGCTTTCGCTCCTCTGTAGCCCTCCTGTGCTGAAACGGTTCGTTAGATCGCGAATTATTAGATTTGTCGCAGCAGCACTTTAGGATCAGTGAAAATATTATATTTTGCACATTGTTTGTGATTACATCAGTTTATTCCGCAATCTGGAGGTTCAATTTATCTGAAATTTCTCGTTAGCGACGTAAAATAGAAGAGTATTGACTAGGAGTATCCTAAATCGCATTTATCAGCGTAGGCGCTGTGTATTCACAGCCCCTTAAATCTATCCGCTGACTCAACTTTCGAGAACGATCCTTGGTATTGGAGGCTGAGAGGACAATCCTCTCTCTCTCTCTTTCTTTCTCTCTCGCGGCCGAATCTTCGATATCGGTCACGAGAATCGATATCGTGCAAATTCCCGGTTGATTCAGGTAGGTAAATACGTTAACTAAATAGATAAACCGTATGACGCTGCGGCAGATGTTTAAAGCTCGCCTAGACTGGCCGATAGGATTTTCGGTCCAATTCGCGCGGAATCGAGGTGACGTTCTTATTTTTAATCCAGACGGATTACCTCCCACCTGGTTCATCTGATTCAACGAGAAACACCTCACCGGCACTTATGTTAGACAATACAGGCTCCCCGTGCGATCTAGCACGACAGTTCAGCCCTTTTTCCTCGATACTGGCTTGAAAATAAATTAGCTTTCGTGACAACTTGTCACAACTTTCGAAAATCCGTTTAGTTTTAAAATATGATAGCGATCATAACTTAGAGAAACTGTGTCATATTTCATATTAATTTGAGAAACGACGTGAATTATTTCTTGCGGTTGAATGTCACTATTAAAATTCAATATAGGGTCATTTATCACTTGAAATGCCACTGGCGAACATTGGTTTCTGCGCGATCGTAAATAACTTACGTAATTTCTGAAATGAGAAACGCATGTCTGGAGACTGAAAAGTTATTAATTCTGCATAAGTATCGGCATCTCCGGGAAAGAATTCTTCGAAGTATCGACTAGGTTGAGAGTCAGGACGTAAAGTAATTAGCGGAATGACTGTAACCATTGACAATCTATCGTAGAAGATATTCGCGTTGCTAAATCTCGTGGGAAGAGACAGCGGGAGAAAGATTTCGGGAATACTTGAGTGAATTAGGAGACCGAAGTTTGATAGATCGGCGAGGAATCGGGACGACTGAAAAAATTGAAGTGATGGAGGTGCAAAAAAAGCGGCAGTTCTGCAGCAGTAAGTCCTGTACGTGTTAAAGCGACGGCGTATGATCTTCAGATTTTGAAAGAATCGATTTAGCTATAATGACAAATCTCTGTATTTTATTTTTCTGTCGCACGCAGAAATAAAACATTTATTTGTGATTCGGGCGACGTTACCGGTTGGATTCGTAACGTTTGGAAATTGATTTCTCAGTTTTAATATAGTAAATATTTTACTTTCGGCTCCCTCGCAGAATGTGTGTCAAACACGAAATTGAGGTTGTTTCCAGTTGAGCTATCAAAGCCGGTACGTTTCATTCAAGATAATTTATTATGTACGATCTGTTTTTTGATAAGCTCTGTTAAATTCTCCGTTACTGCTTGCTACAATATCTACAGGCCTTTCTGTTCCACATGACGAATTCGAACACGACAATCAATGAATCGCGAAGCGTCGTTCCATCGAGACGTTTCTATTTCAGTAGATCGCGAACTCGCTAAAGTCATCGGAATTTTGAATTTTGCACATACCGCCAACTCTGTCATTCTCAAATGTCGACTTTTCCCTCCCGAAACCCGCAATTGGATCGAGCACGCTTCGTAAAAAGATGGTCGATGTCAAAGGGACGCTTTATTATCTCGATAACAAGGCGAAGAGCGAAATTCTTCTCGCGCTGCTGGTGTTTCGCGATGAGAAGCAAGACGAGCGCAGGTTCTAACGAGTAACACGATCCTTAACACGACGCTGGCCCACGGCAATCGGATTAAGTGCTTTCGATGGAATTGACCGAAACTGGATACGGGGTTTTTGTGACGCTAATTAACACGTATCGTTCTGAGTATTCGCGAAAGATTGCGCGGCAACTGGAAATACGAGCTTTATTACGAGAGGGGGCAAATACTCTGCAGTGAATATCACGTGCACGTTTTATCATTAATTATAAATTTGGAAAATCCAATTAAATGGAGATTACATTTAAGATTATGTTACAAAATAATAGAGGAATCGAAATAATCTAGTAAAAATGGGGAGAAATGTATGTATATATTAATATTTTTTCAATAATTTTATTGAAAAATCGCTCTTTTTTTTTACTGCTCAACGGTGGACGAGCTCTTTTCAGAATAAGAGCAATTCGATTTTGCATGTACGCACGAAGGAATCGCTGATGCCTTGCCAGACGAATTTGTGCACGTATCAACACATTTATACCTTTTGCATAATACATACCTGGGAAATGTATGTGTGTTCTATCTAAATACGGGAAGGCATCGGTGATTCCTAGTGTACGTCCTAATCGCGGCTAAGTTTAGAGGCATAAAACCATCGTCGGCTGAGCGATATCTGTTAAGAGGCGTCCCGATGGCACTTCGTAGAATGGTGCTAGGTGGAATACCAGGTGAATTTGCGTTGATGAGTAAATCTTATCGTAGGAGAAACGGTGGGTACTAATTGCAGTAGCATATTTAAGGTAAGCGTAGTCCTTAAGGTAAACACACACGCGTTTATGCTCATAACTTTCTGCTTGCTCGACGACGCCACGATCGATCCTCGATGAACCGCGGACTCGATACCCTCCTCGAGCAGGCAGCCGAGATTTTAAGTAAGACTCTAGTCCTGTAAATACGTAGATAGACAAAGATATCGGTCGAGAAGCGTGTGACGAGGTCAGGTACCTGCCGAGCTCGTCTCACGCTTATGATTGTATCGGCGAGGATGAGATATCGCAGATGTACGCGCTTTATGAGCTTACGATTGTACCGAGAGAAAAGGATATTGTTAACTCTTTGGGATACGTTGGTACAAAGTACAGGAATTTACTATTTGAATTGTTATTTTATATGGAAAAGATTGAGGGGAAAATGTTAAAAGTCGATCTTTTGTACCTTTTAGTTTAGATACACTACGTAGTTTAGTTCACTACGTAATTTATTTTGTAGCCAGTGCAAAAATCAGCTCGAAGAGTTAACAAATGGATGTATGCGCTTCTGTCCATCCAGACGAGTCGGAGCTGTGAATTGCGAAATCGCTCACGAAACGGTATGTCGATGTTACTCCTCCGGAAACTCCGGGCCAGCCACCAGGATTTAATTATAAACGTCGTTTGTCCGTTATTTGAATAACGAAGATTAATACGGCGCAGATGGTGGGCGATCGGTATATCGATTATCGAAACCGCCGGGGCGGATAAACTCGTGAACTTTCGCCAGTCCGCAATTTCGACTCTGTTCGGGGCTTCAAAAAGTATACGGTGCATAATCCGGAGATCCGCCTACGCGCTCCAGCGTCAACGACGTGCTAATTACTCCCCGGGTTTGATCGAGGACCACCTGGGAATTGAGTGACCGTCGGCCGAAACGTCACCAGCGTTTCGCCGACAACTCGAAGCGGACGCGCGCTTGAGTTTTCTGGATATATTCGACAATATATTTACATTAATCGTAACGGTCTAGTACGCATACACGTGTATGTAGCTCACTCAATAGCATTTGTTCGTGCTCTGTCGTAGGATAATGGCTGGAGGTGAAAGAGATATCGCGCGGGCGAATAATCGCGCAGGCGGTTCGTCGAAATCATTTCATTCACGCGAGCGAGAACGAGTAGAATCGGCGGTTGACGCCGCCCGTCTCGAGGCTGGCGTAAATCGAATTCCCAAAGAGATTATAATCTCGGCTGTCGCGTTTTAAACTTTCGATTCTCAGATCGGACCATCTGGAGAGCCACCGGCTACGGGTGTAATCTAATCCGGTGTAACGGTACTCGCTCGAGATGACGTCGATAGGATTTTCAGGATTTGATTTATGCCACCGTCGTGATATGCGGCCCTAAGTCACGATATGTAAGACGAGGGAAGCGTGTGCCAAAAAGTAGGACAAATTTCTCTTGCGGGACGAAACGACGCTCGCGTATCTTTTTTCCTCTGTTTTGCTCCATTTCGTTCCACTGTTCCACTTTTGGCAGCCTAGATATGGCATCTGGAATGTAACGCAATATCGCTGAAAATGAAATCACAATTGGACGGATTCCAGGACGTTTCCCCGAGAATCTCGTCGATGCCGGTCCAATGTCTTCGAGATGGAACCGTGGGACCGAATGGGCTGAGCTCGCGAAGAACTCGTGAGAGAGACACTTGTGTGGGAAATTTGTCGAGAGCGATGCTTTTTTTCACTATTGAAAGATTCGGCTCAGCAGTGGAGACGAGGCTCCTTTCAGAATAAGAGGGAATCAATCTCGCACGTACGTCTTAATCGTGGAATTAGGTTTGACGGAAAGTTGAGATTAATTTTCCCGGATCCCGAAAAGGGCTCGTTTGGCCGTTGTTCCGCCCAAAGCCTTCGATCACTTCGGCGGCACGGGTCAGGTCGAGTCGTTTGCTATGCTCAAGTTTCAATAGACGGACTCGGTCCCCGCATTCTCGCTCCGTTCTCCTCCGATCGGTCGACTTGTTTTATTCTCGCGAACGGTGTTAATTTCCGAGCAGCGTGATTCGAAACGAATTGCTTCAACGTCGGCGAGGCTCAAGGTCGGAAATTAACGCGACTCTCGTCGCGCTTCGTCGACGCATCCTTCCCCCGGATGGCGGAGAGTGCATTCTCACGTTGGGGTAGGTGATGGCAGAACTTCGGTTACGTAGATAAGGGTGATACGTTTTTTTTTCTTCTTTAGGCAAATTGTGATAGACCGCGTAGGCACGTAAGCCATAAGATTGACTATACTAATTACGATTTTGATTCTCACTTATACGAAGCCGATAAGCGAGCAAGTTTGCAGGGGTGCAGTTAGCCGCAGGCGATTCGCGGTAAACTTACCGTGCCGCGACTAGAGCTGCAATTTCTCTGCGATCTAGTGACGAATTCGAGATAACGCCCTTCCCTCTTGCTCTCGTAATTTCTCAGCTCGCGACGCTGTAACGCGAAAGCGAGCGAAATCCGCTTAAAAAATCGGCATTAAAGCTGGAAAATGAATAGAAATTTTTATAAGGAATAAATAATCGTTGCAAGTCTAAATTCTTTTACCCAGAGGGAGACAAAAAATTGTGTAACAGTGCAATTACCTGAAATTATCCTCGTTCACGGAAGATTAAGCGACCGTTGCTTGCCCGAGTCTAACGGTGTATCCGTGAAAACGATCTGGCAAACAGGTGAACCGCACTCGTCCGACTCTTGCTTGCCTAAAGGCTTCGCGTGACATAGACGTAAGTGTACGACAGACGTATCGTCAAAGTCGAATCGAGTCCTTCCGGCGGGACTCGCGCGGCTCGCATTCACGATACTCCTACGATATATACATAATTATATATATATATATATATATATATAATTATAGCCAAGGTAAAATTTACGACACATCAGGATGAGTTTTATAGCTGTTGATTATAAAGAGGCTGATTAAGTTTAGATATCGTTCCAGTGTACTCGATACATTTGATATAACGCAGTTAAAGATATTCGTATAGTAGACACTCGCGTTACTATTATTATCATCATCATCATCATCATCATCATCACCGTAGTTAAGATGAATATCCGATAATTTTGTCCCGTTTCTTAGGCGCGTTCGACGCGATGCTGACGCCACGACGAATAGAGAATAAACGGAGTATCGTTAGAATAGAACGACTCATCACCTGTTACGATTAAAATTGGATAATGTAGGTATCATTGCCATTATATGAGTCATCGACTCCGCAATCTCCGTGGCTTATGTAAATTGAGACAAGACTATCTATCGCAAGGAAACGATCGGGAAACGATGTACCGAAAAGGACAATTTAAAATCTCTACAGAAATCGATACACGTAGGCCATTGGATACAGCGAGAATTTAATTTTGCGGGCTCGCCGCGACGGAATTCCGCAGCAGCCGGCGCGGTTTTACATTTACACTCGTGGGTCGACGGCAATAAAAGGTAGCAGTTATGGCCTATAACGCGCGCGTAGAGGCACACCCAACCGTGTGTCGCACGCGAGGTGCCGCGGACATACGATCATTTCCGTCGCGGCGCGTTGCCAGACGTCGGACCGAGCGACATTCGTCCCGCGAGAGGACGAAAAGCTCCCTCGAGGAGAGTGACTTTTTTTTATATCGAACTGTCGATCGGTTCAACGTCGTTCGACGCGCTCTTCGCTCCCGGGATGCGCTTGATTGGTGGGACCTGAGCAGAATGGCTGTCTTGCACTCTTGAGACATACAACAGTTATTGCGCGTCACCTCAAGACACAGGCTTAAAATATAAAACATTGTCTTAAGAGTATACACTGCAAGACAGCCCTTCCGCTTAAGCCCGTGCCCATTCGGCCAAGTGTCGTTCTCCGCCGCGAGCGGAAGCGCGCATCGGGAGAGCAACGGAGCGACGAGCGATCGGCGGCGTCGCGCTCGCGAGGCGAACGCGAACGAGGCGGACGTTTGAATATCCCCACAGGCATTTTAACGTTTTAAGCGAGACCCAATTAGCATTAGTGAGAATCGTTACGTCTGAACATTGATGTCATCGTTATCGCTGTATGATTATCATCACGCTCTTATCCGCCGCTGCTATCTAACGTCGTCACCGCTGGCGACGCGGTGACGAGGTGGTACACTCTATACTCGATATTCTGTGTCGATACCTACACCTAAACTGTATATTAACAATGATCACTGTGTAAGGAGTTGAAATTCCAGTATAATAAAATCGCTCTTCATAAACTCGGCCCTCTACTTGACACGATCCTGATCACCGGCGCGTGACGATGCATTTAGGTATGTAATAAAGAACCAGAGTTAAGTTTCTGTAATTACATTCTCAGGCGTAAAAAGAGAGACGATATCACTATTTTTCGAATGCATTCTCTGATATCTACTAAATATTGAATATTTTAACTCTCTCGAGAGTTAGAAGAATTAGAACGTTCCGTTTCCTAAGGCCTGCGGACCAAGTTCCAGCATCGTGGACACGGGCCTTTATACAGGGTGTCCCAGGAGGAAAGGTCAATATTCTGGGAGGTGATAGTGTCGGTCGTTTTAAGCAAACATGTTCATATGAATATATGTCCCATTCCCCCCTGTTTCCGAGATAGAGCTACTTGAATGTCTCGTGCACTTAATTTTTTTTCTGTACACTTCACCCTTTATCTAACCTCACAAACGCCCGCGGGAATTTACTTTTATACGTCTGTTGACGGTTGTGCCGATAACATTGTAGAAATGTTCAAAATGACTCGCATATTCACAATTGTCGAATATGCAGGTGTGCTGTATGTTTACGGTTTCTGTGCTGCTGTTGAAGAATACCGGTCGCTTTCCTACACGCAGGATTCCGAATCGTAAAGTGTTTTCCAAGGTTTTCAATACATTGCGTGAAAGTGGAACGCTTGCCAGTGTTCACGTTTTATCTGAACGAGGACGTCAACAAAATGTGCCCCGTCTCGGAAACAGTGGAGAATGGGACATGTATTGATATGAGCATTTTTGCTTAAAATGACCGATACTGTCACCTCCCAGAATATTGACCTTTCCTGCTGGAACACCCTGTACATGAGAATAAAAGGGAAAGTAGGTTTTAAGAGATATAACTTAACTTTTATAAGATAGTTATATATATATTTGCTTAAAGATATTTACGAAAGACACAAATCAGTTAAATACAACCTGATATAACAAATTCTTGCTAAATCGTTCTCGCGGTTCTCAGCGCTATTAAGAGGTGAAACGTGACTTATCTTGGAATGTATCGCGACATGTGCAACTTCGTTGCGTTTTTTTCACGAGAGACGAGGCCGGATTGGCTCACCGATCGACGTTGACGATAATGAAAGCTGATCTATGCTCGAATGTCTATCATAAATTTGTCAGAAGCGAGCGATCGGGTCGTCAGGAAACGATGGAAAATTTTACGGTAATTAAGGAGATTATATAATGTATGTGTACCCGGACATACTATTTGTTAGTAATTTTTTTCTCACGGAATAAATATACATCTCTTACGCATCCTCGGCCCGCGTCACGTCCTTACCGCACTTTTAGCTAGATAGCGGGCGATTTTTCACTAATAATTTCATTTCCACCGAAGCAGATTAACCTTGAACTCGATCTAACTTACTTTATATCTTTTTCCAGTTCTTGAAACTACACGGAGAGAACTTGCTCTGAAAACCACGTAATCGTGGGACAACGCGGCATTTCGTTGAATTTTATGAGTTTATTTTAAATTTTACCGTGCATTTTAAGTAAAATGCGTGGTAAAATGTCAGAAAACGCTCATAAAGCTCTTCAAATGCCACGTTGTCCCACGTTCACGTAATTTTTCAGGGTAAATTTTAAGATAAAATTCTCCCCGCGTCGAAGAGGATAAAAAGTAAGTTGAACCGAGATGAACGGGCATAGAGTCCGACTGTCTTCAGGCGGGGCTCGGAATACAAATTGGGCACTGACAAGTATATAATATTTTTTTTATTGTCCTTTTATAACGTACAATCAACAACGGTATTTTTTTTCTTTCTTTTTGTTCCTTTTTTTCTCTCCATGTAACCCATGTGCCAGCAATTAGTTCTTAAAAGGACACGTTAGACGTCTCGTGGGTTAGTATATAAATACCGGTTTACAGTGAGAATACAATTAGATAGCCGAGTAGTATTAACAAACTTATATAATGTAGAACGTCCGGTCGATACCTCGACGGGGCATAATAGATCAATAGTGTAATAGTGCGCGGGAGGGAGGGAGGAGGAGGGGGAGGGTAACAACGAAGGTTTCACGGAATAATTTGTAACATCGTAAGTAGAGAAATAGCCATTTTACGCACTCGCGCGCGAGGAAAATAGATAGGATCGCCACGCGAATATACATGTATTTTACGTATCAACGTTAGGTACACTTTGTTAATATTCCCCGTACACGTTATAAGTACGCATCACAGATATGTCGTTGTTCGTGGAACAAAAGGAAACACGGAATGGCGACAAGGATCGGCGAGAATACATCGGTTGTTCCGAGAACGATGTGCACCAGCGGACGAATTTTTCGCTTTCCAAAGGGTTTGGTTCTTTCTTAAAGAGAAAAGAAAACGTGCTTCGAGACGATCTTTTGCTAATAAATTCATGATTATCCGCGTCTGATAATTTAAAGGGTCGAACGGAGATCAATCTGCTTCTCCTGAAGACCACGAGGAACTTCAGAGCGAGATTTCATTCCCAAAGGATTCGATTCTTTCTTGAGAAACGTGCCTCGAGACAGTCTTTTGCTAGAAATTCATAGAAATTTGCCGTCTCTGATAATTAAAGGATTGAACGGTGATCAATCTGCCTTCTGAAGAACACGAGAAATTTCAGAACGAGATTTCATTCCCAAAGGATACGATCCTTTCTTGAGATACATGCTTCGGGACGGCCTTTTGCTGTAAATTCACAACTATCCGCCTCTGATAATTAAAGCAAAGGATTGACCGACGATCGGTTTGCTTTCTTAGATGAGCAATTTAATACAATTTAATTTCGTCAATCAGAAGATTAATTTTTCAAAATTCGTAGAGCGGAAGAACAAGATCTACGTGAAGATAGTGAGCGAGCGTCCCGCCGTTCGTGTGCCCCGACTTTCTCGGAACATCATGTATATTTTATCGCGGGCACGTGAAAATAATCGAAAGCACAACCGTTGACATCTCGACGCACGTCGCAGGCAAAACGAGTGTCTCACGTTGACAGAACGGTCGGCGAGGAAAAATTAAAATACGCTACGTAAGCAGGCGAACGGCCGTATGTACGAGCGAGAAAAACACGGTAAGTGAAAATGAAAGTGTTGTCAAATTTGTCTGCTTAACACCGATAACCAATGCCGGAATTGATGTTGGGGAAAATGTAAAACAGAGAAACGCCAGTGTTTCGCAATAATTCGCTATTGATACTACGTATCCGCAACTCCTCGTGCCGCAGTGGGTATGAACGACGAAGGCAAATTGTACGCACCGGCTAGCAACAATCTTAATGAAGACGTGTCGCACAACTATATAACTTTGCTATCTACGATAATAGGATATTAATAATAATAACGAACAGGACGTAACGTGGGCGCTCAGGACTGGACAGTATTTCAAGTTTTAATACGCAGTTTCGCGTTACGACTTACACAAAATCGAGTGAGACGCAAAGTCTTGTATTCCGAATAAAATCCTCGTATCTTCTCGATATTCTTCGTATTCTCATATACCTACTTGGCTGTAAAATACAATATGTCACGGAGTAATTGGAAGTTCGTACCTCGTATTTTATACCTGAAATACATTTTAATAGCATCTTGCCCGAGCCCGTGAACAAAATTATTGCTTACATTAAAATCATCGTCGCGTACTGCCTCTCGCGAGAGTTGTATATATTCTTTATGATTAATCATTTCTTCGCGATAACCGCCTCTTCTTGCATTTATAATATTCGCCTCGCGATTGCTCGTATCGTCTGAAATTACTTCAATAATGCATGAATGCACACGGATATCAAATATTCATTCGAAAGCGTTCATTATAATTTCATACCGTGGAAGTTTGTTTTTCATTCTGATGAAAATACCACCAATATTTCATCGGCCTCTTTTTCTCGAGGCGGTGGGAATACTTGAAAATCCTTGTCGTCTTTCTTCTCCGATTCAAATTTTTGTTAAGCGCAATTGTAACATTTGAACGTATGAACTCACGAATGTTGCATTTTGTACTGGCCAAGCCTGACCAATACTTACAAAGAAGTGTCAGCGCGGTAATATATACGTGTGTTATTGCAATTGACAATCACATGGCTCGCGATAAATCGGTCATCCTCATATAATAAAATATCTAGTTTGTATAAATATCCATTTTAATTGGCGCAATTTGATGATCTCATTACTTTTGTAGAGACAATAATAATTTTTTTTTTAACAAAATATATCCAAGTAATTAAGTTACATAATTCTTGATTGGATAGCGCTTATACTTGGTGTCTTTACCTTTTTTTTTTAAAAAAGGTTATTTTTAAGGTGATTGACAATTACATGGCTCGCGATAAACCGGTCATCCTCATATTAGCTCGTTGTAGCGTATTGGTCGCAGCTGGAAATCGAGAGGGATCGTGAGTGCAGAGAGAGACATTTACCGACCGTTCTCTTTCTTCTTAGGCACCTGAGTCTCATTAATCCGGAATACGAGGAGAATATAACTTGTCAGACGACGATCTGTTGAAACGTTATTTTTATTGTAATTCCTCATCCAATCCCAATGTAATTTAGGGCAGGGTCGTCTCCGACATTTCCTGTGTCGCGCGTATGTGTACATATACAATACGCATGGCCACCGCCCACGTTACGGATAATAATCGAACGAAAACGCGCTCTAGTTGTTTGACTATGGTTATATTTATATATATTGTTTTATATATATGGAATGTGTGCTTCTACCAAACTGCTAAGAGTGCTAATACATAGATTCTTCGCGTCGCCGGGTGTGTACGTCACACGCCGGCGGGCGCGCGCAGCTAAATTTACAAGTTCTCTCGAAACTGCTCTCGACGCAACACGCAAACCTCATAATAAACCGCGAAATAGGCCCGTTGGCGGATTTTATCTAATTTCTCGATACAAATCCCTGAAGAAGAGAGAATCGTCGTCGCTCGTTTGGTACGGCGCGAAAAGGAGGGAAAAAATCGTCCAAATGTCGTACGTTTAATCGGCGAATGCGCGAACGCGTGTGTGGTTGCGAATCCTAAAATTAAATCTCTACAGAACTACACGTGACCGGCCGCACCATTTTGATTAACGTCTTTCGAGTAATCTCCTGATTTCATAGCAGCTGCGATATAATTCTGTATGCGTCTTGAATGCACCGAACTATTTTTTTCTTATCGATCTCTCCGAACAACGAGAAGTTGACTTTGATTCAATTGTAGAATCTAATATTGCGGATGAAAAGGTACTTTTTACGATCACAGGCCGCGCTAATCAAGGACGGTGCACCCGGCCTCGAAAGATATGTGGTCGTGGAAAAATGTGCATTGTTTTCGAGCGCAGTTCTGCACATTTTGTACTTGGGCCACCGCGCGAAAACGTGCGGTGAAACTTTGGCGGTCGCTTCGGTATTGATTAATTTTCGCGGAGGTCTCGGGGAATCAACGCGTTCTCACGTGGTGTGCGCAACGGCGGCGTGCTTTCTCGCGATGCGAGCAACTGTATATAACTCTTAATTACAATTATTATCAATAATCTACGGAACGCAGGAACTCGTAAAACAAGTTTAATTTGAATTGAATATTCAACACACGCACGGTAAAATGCAAAGCAAGATTGCGCAATTTAACTACAAGGGTCACCTACTCATCAGTCGTGGTAGCCCATCTTTTTTTTCGGGAAATTGCGTTTTATTGAAGAAATTTCGAAATATTTTAAAAGACGCGATATACTCTACCGATTAACGTCAGTCAGTTGTCTGGGAAGGGTTTTAGGCAAGGGAAGTGAGCGAAAACGCGAGACAATGTACATACAGAGTTCGAAACTTTGGAGTAATCTATTGCTCTACCGTGTAGAACTCTCGCAAGAGATGGGTAGCAGCGTTCCCGCGGAACAAAGAACTAACGATAAGTACGAATTGTGCGTTTTTGCTCGCTTCCGTTACCTAAAACTCTCCACAAAGAACTGATCTGACTAACGTAGCGTATACTTTATAATATATATATATATATATATATATATATATAATTTGAAAACGCACTTATCCGAAAGAATTGGCTGCCTTGACTTCTGAAGTAACCCTCGTATCACAAGTCAACGGTGCTTGGAAATATCTAAAAAAATTGTCTCAAATACTCCGAACGGGAATCTATCTAACAGGGAAGATTTAGTTAACGAAGAAGCAGATTTGAACAATTCGAATATTATGCATGAAAAATAAAACGCTTGCGACAGTTACGCTCTTCAGGAGACGCGAAAAATATCCTATGGTGCACGATATGTAAATTGTTCAAATCCATTCCTGTGCTCAAATCCTTCGTACTCTCCCGTATTTCCTGCACACGCCGTTATCATCGCTACCCTCTTCGCGAATAGGTCAACTGTTCGCGAGCAAACAAACGGATACAGCGGCTTGTGCGGCGCAAGTTGACCGATCCCGCAGTCGAGCCGATCGCACCTTGGGAGATCCTCGTGGCCGCATCTTCGGGTCGGTTTGAGAATTATTTAATCGTAATTCTCAGACTCCTGCTGCACCAGTTTGAACCGGCGCGGACTCTTCACGTACATGGAACCGTGAGAACCCTCCAGAGAGAGGCGGCCCTTGCGCTGAAGGTACGAGGTGATGTAGCGCGCGATCAGCTTCTGCGGCCGCATCTGCCATTCTTCCAACACTTCCTTGGGCGCCATGACCTTTGCAAATCACGAGGATCGATTAGACGCGGCTCGAGTCAACAGAATTGAACCACTAATAACGTTGACCAGTCGCACATTGAATTCATAACGGAATCAGTCTGAATAATTTGGCAAAGTTTGCGTAACAGCGAGCTGAAGCTTACGATATCTTGTCCTTTAATAATTTCATACCCGACGCGCAATATACCATATATTTGCCCGGTTGCGAAATTATCACAGTTTCGCAAAGTGCATGCAAATTAGAATACAGATGATACCCGTCGACGAGCCCGCTGTCGATGACGCAAAGCTCGTGTGCAACGTATATTAGATTCTTCGCGGGCGCGCGAGAGAGCTCGGTGTCGAAAATACGTGGATCACATATACCTGGTCGCCTTTGAGTCGGTCCAACAGCGTCACGCACACAACGGCGGACTGGATGCCGGCGTGGTGTGTCAGCCCGGCGAAGCAGAGGCTCTCCATCTCGATGTTCACCACGCCGGCCTTCTGCAGTTTGGTGAGATAATCCATTTTGTCGGCCTCCGTGAACTCGCAGAACGCGCCGTCCAGGCGGCCCTGGCCCTCGTAGAAGTCGTTCGAGCACATGGTCTTACCGATCACGGTGTCGTAGGGATCGTCGCGATGGGCCAGACCCTTCAAGTCGCGGGCCAGCTGCCGGTCGAGCTTGGCCGGTCGGCGCACCAATTTTCCGAGCACCAACTGCAGCCATTGACACGTTTAACGTTAAGATTCTATCGGTTATTAACTTGCGCTATTTAAATGCGCGATATATTTTAATATACCGAGTGTCCCAGGAGGAAAGGTCAATATTCTGGGAGGTGACAGTATCGGTCATTTTAAGCAAAAATGTTCATATGAATATATGTTCCATTCCCCACTGCTTCCGAGATAGAGCTACTTGAATGTACAGTTGCGAAATTACTATTTCTAATGTTTATTGTTCAAGTGATACATTTTTTACAGATCATAATAAATTTTCAAACATTCCACCGTTAACAACATTGCATTTTTCAACTCTTGTGTGAACATGGCGAGTTGCCCGTTCGACATTTGGGATATGCGAGGCATTTTGAACATTTCTGAAATGTTATCAGCGCAACAGTTAACAGACGTATAAGAGTAAATTCCAGCGGACGTTTATGAGTTGGATGAAGGGTCAAGTGCGCAGAAAAAAGTAAATACACGAGACATTCAAGTAGCTCTATCTCGGAAACAGTGGGGAATGAGATATATTCATATGTACATTTTTGCTTAAAATGACCGATACTGTTACCTTCCAGAATATCAACCTTTCCTCCTGGAACATCCTGTATACATTGAAAAAAATATTCGATTAAATATAATTAGCTAATCCAATTACATAACAACAAACGGATATATCCGATTAAAGTGTAAGATCCGACGAAAAATGTGATCGGTTTGTCAATCAGATTTCATGATAACTGCATTTTATCGGATATATCCATAATTTAATCGGAAAAATTAACCATCGGAAACACTATTTAATTGGTTTATCTGATGAACATTTTTTTCAGTGCCAGTAAACTATATGAAAAAATGGAATGGAAGTAAATTGATCAATTGGATTATTTCTATTTATATTGTTACAAGAGTCACGGAAAAGGATCTCGGAAAATATAATGCTATTATACATTTGAATAATTTTCATAAAAAGTTACACACCAGTGACTTTGGCTGCTTTGACATTTCTAGTGTAATTTTCCCAGAAAATCCTTTTACGTTTTAAATGATAATTACGAAACAGTTTGCAGGCAGGACTCAGTTAATTAGAAAGCTACAGACACCTATTAGCAAAGTAAACTTTGCGAAACTTCTGTCGTGGTTTTCCTTTCTTCGTTTCAACTTTATAAAATCACTAACCAATTCCATATAAGGTTTCATCATCTCATCGACGGCTTCCTCCGAGATGATTACCGTCCCGCCTTCGTAGCCAATACCACCGCAGGTGCCGATCCTGATGAAGATTGGGTCCTTTACTCTCGCGTGGTACATCAGCTTGATAACTTCGTGGAGCAGAATGCTGACCGAAGGTATACCCATTCCGTGCTAAACGGATAAATATCCAACGATATTAAAAGAAATTTACAGGGGATGAACTTTTTCAAGTGCTCGCATTTACTTTTACTGAATTTTCTTTGTTTATTCAACTTAGTAATATCGAACACGTTCGTGACACGCTTTGAAAGTGCGTCCTTTCATTCACGCCGGGCCTAATTTCGCGCAATTCGATTCGATTGATATCTTTTTTAAATCCAAGCATAGAGAGCATAGTATGTAATTCATAAATAATTTAACACAACTCACAAGGAGGAGAAGAAGAAGAAGAGGCTGGCTATTATTTCGACATGTTTTGTACTAAAAGTTTGCGATGCGTTCGCTCGCAAAGAGATGTTTCTACCATAAATAATTGCTTCCAGCAAGCAGGTAACGCAATTGCGTCCTGAATTCCGCTCGGCTCGCTCGGCGTGCGTAATTCGCGCGAAGCGAGACGATGAGAAACGGTTTGATCGTCCAGGCGTGTAAACCGCGTAAGTAGAGTATTATAACGGCGGAGTAAGTGTGATTAGCGTGGAATGTTAGCGGGTTCTATTGCCAGGAGCGGATTCTCTATCTTGCTACGTCGGTGGCTACATTGAATCTAAAGACCTTAAGGATACTGGACACCGCGATATTTTTCTTTTTAAAGGCGTATCGTATTCTCTTGATAGTGTCATTTCTTACTGCGACACGTTCGGCAGAAATGATATCGTATTCTGCTCTTTAAATTATTGACATTATTTTTGCAAACTATCGCTTATTCAACAGCAATTTTTAATTCTGATCTAATTGGTTTTTATTCTCGACGCTTTGTTGAGAAATCACGCAAGCAATACGGTCAAGACCATTTTATTATTGAAACGTCGTATTATTTAAAATTTATTAAAATACTTCAATTTTTGTAATTGACAATGATCCAATAGTTAAAATGTCGATATAATTGTAAAACTTGCTTACAAATACGATTTCTGTTCGAAGCGTGGATCCGAAAAGGATATTAATCCAGTTAAATTATGCGAAATTTGTCACGACTTAAATGAAAGGATAACAACTTTCAAGCATATCGCGAACACGTTCGTCTCATTAACGTCGGGCTTAAACAGGTACGACTCAATTATGCGAAAGTAAATTTGCTTGAAACTTTGCCGTAGAGTTCCCAGTAATAATCCATTCCACATTCCAATATAATTGCGCAGTGTAACGCCCGTACCAGACTATCGACTCGCGACTGCGACGCGATTGCGTCGGCGATTGGCCGTTTCAAATTTTAATGGCTGCGTCAGCCAATGATAGTCGCAGTCGTTAGTGTGATAAGGTACTTTAAAGAACCGAAACACTTGGCCGTCTACTCGACCTCGCGGTTACCTCGATAATTAATCGTCTCAAGTCGCCCTAGGGAAAGAAATGCGTCGAGGAAACGTTTGATTTATAAAGACTCACACTGATAGACAGGACCGGGCCGACTTTGTACATTGAATAGCGGTAGGAATTTTTGGTGATGTCGAGAAGAGTCGTCCCGGCTGGTAGCTTGTGACCTATCTCCTTCATGATGTAGTTAGCGAAATTTTCCATCCTCTTCGGCGTTCCTCCCATGCAGACAAACTGGAACGAGAGAAGAGCGCGACTGCGTTTTCAAGGGAGAAGTGAAAATTCGCAGGTCGATCGTTAAAACAATGATCATTAAAATAATAATTGGAATAATAAGCGGCTGCAACAATACGCTCGACAAAGAGAGAAAGCGAGGCGGGTTCATCGTTAAAGTGACGTGACCCGAATCTTGAGACGCCCCGATTCATCTTAAATGTCAAAGATCATCGGTTACGATAGTAAAAATAAACGAGCCGGCGGCCGATGGTGTAATCGCACGTCATTGAAGTATATTTCGCGATTTATTGAAGTTGGCTGACATCACGAGTGTATCGCGTGACATCGGTAGCCTCGCGCGGTTAGCGTATTCCCGCTTCTGATCCAGATCCGAGTGTCAAGTGCAGGGAGTAAGGATACGTTGACTAATCGATTATTGACAAACGTGATAAATATCCGCCGGGATTGTTGTATGAACTGCCTCTTATCGCGGCAAGACAGAGGCCCAATATTATTAAGTGATGTAACGTCTTTCGTCATATTGTTTTGCTGTCTGCATACGATAAGTTTAGCGTAACTGCGCGTGTTAAAGAGAAGACAGACGGTTATTCTGACCAAAATTACACAGGGCTGAAAGAGATCTTTGAAAACTAGAAATTAGGAAAAGGGAAGAGAGAACTTTCTAACAAAATTTTTGTACTGTTTATACATTATTTATCCAGTAATATTACAACACAGATAAATGTAAAAAAAATACGTGTGCCAATATACCACGTAGATACCGCGGTATCTTTTGCATTGATAATTGTTGTTTGTGTAATTACTGTGTGACTTACATTTAGTGAAAAAAAGCTGTTTAATATTTACAAAAGTTGTTATTATATCATCAGTGTCGGATAACAAGAAAACAGGGGAACGCCACTGATTAAAATACAAATATTGACGGGAAAAAAATTGCGATAAACCATGGTAGCGATATATGCGACGTAACATGCTTTTGATAATGATTGAGTCATCCGAGTTTCAGTATACAGGGTGTACTAAAACCACCGGATATCCTTTTAATCATAAATTGTTTAGAAACTTTCAAGACAAAAATTCTAATACAAAAATGTCGAGGCTATAATAGTTTTTAAATAATAAGCGATTACATTTGTGAAATATAATCGCTTATTATTTAAAAACTATCATAGCCTCGACATTTTTTTATTAGAATTTTCCTCTTGAAATTTTCTAAGGAATCTGCGATTAAAAGGATATCCGGTGGTTTTAGTACACCCTGTATATGGTACGAAGATGTATTAATTTAATAGAGCTGCATTCGTCAAATTTATGATAACAATAATTACATATTTTTGTAATATTTATATATTACAAGTCACACATACCTTGGTTACTATAATTAAACATGAAATACATTAATATACCTAAACTATTAAATAAAAAATGATTAAAAACCAAAATCGTTCCTATATTAAACTTCACGTTGAGGACGTTGAAATAAATAAATTTTGTACATTTTGAACGTATTTTGCTTTAATGGATTCTTAATACTGGGCCTAATTATCAAGGTACATTGACTACACCAGCCTGCAAATGCCTCGAAAACGAAATCAGTCAATCTTTACTAATTGGAGGTCGCTGAATCCGAATATATTAGTGAAAAGTGTCGCTAGTTTCGATAATATAAAGGGTTGAAAGCGCTTTTTATTTTCGGTCGACTGTAACTTTACAATAAAACATTATAAATTATTCGAAAACGTCTCGAAGGGAAGATTACGTCTTCTACTTTATCAGGAAAAATTTCGAATTTTTGCAAATATAATATTTGCATTCCTCAGATGATCTTTAACTATTAGGCAGACAAGTTTACCCAAACTCTTCCAAATAAAGTTAAACGTTAAAAGTATTTGCAAAAATTTGAATTTTTTCTTGATAAAGTAGAAGATATAAGCTGTCTCTTGAAGTATTTTGATGTATCACGTTTTGTTGTAAAGTCACAATCGACAGAAAATTGATTTTCGGAGATTTCAATTCCATATCATCGAAACTATTACTAACAAAAACTTTTCACTGACATTCGGATTCAGCGACTTCAAATTAATAAAGATTGACTAATTTTCGAGGCAGAAAATGACTTCAGTTTTGTTGAACCCATATCACAAAACAATGAAAGTTTAAAAAAGTTGTGAAAAGCGATGGCGTTCAATTAAATTTCAGTCAAGTAGAAGTTGATGTAAAATTACTTAAAGAATGCGCTAATAAGGCTTGTCCAAGTACTTTGACCAATATTTTGTATACAAAATGTACTATATTTTTCGTGCAAATATAATAGAAACTTATTCGATTTACCTTGACGTCACCAAACATCTCAACCAGATCGTGGGAGCCGCTGCCGAGTGCGAGATGATACAATATGTCCTGATCCATAAGTTCGATATTGGGATTTCGTAATCGTACGGAGCCATCGCTGTACCTGTGACAGATGGAAAACGTTCGACTTACGTTTTATCTTTGACTACGGTTTTAAATTCTACGTTCTATCAGAGAGCCTTGGCACAGTTGTTAATACAATAAAATATTTAATACGACAAACAAATAACTTTACCGCGAAATAAATAACTTATATCGTGATGCAGCAACTATAAAATATCTGATTAAACCGCAGTGTACGTGAATTAATCAAATATTTTAATTAATTTCCGCAATATACGCGCTACGAATACGGCACATCGCCCGCATTTACGGAACGATACAATTACTCGTGTTTATGTAAGCGTAATTAGCGCTCAAAGTTGTTAACTGTGACGTTTGAGTAATACTGCATAAATCATTATCGCATTTCTGATATTTAGTGCTTGGAAGCGCGACTCTGAAAAAAATGTAGCTGCCGTAGCTAAAAACTGCCTGTGGCAACTAAATTTCAGCTGCAAAATATGGACGGCTAATATTTAGTTGCGATAGCTAAATATTTTGCTACTGTACTTATTAGATGCGATCGATTGCTGTGATTCAGAAATTTATGGCAGCAAAATATTTTTAGCAAACCATGATCAACTACGGTAGTAAACTTTTTTTTCAGCCAAGAAAATTTTATAACGTTTTACTGGTCTATTCTGTAAAAATGCTCTGTAGCGCTGTATTTTTATAAACTATGCTGCCGTGTGGAACAACAGAAAAGGAGCTAAAGAGCTTTTGGAAATCCTACAGAAACAGACCCATTGATAGAAAAATCGTAGAACGAGAAATATAAAATATTTGTATAACGTGATAGTTCTCCGCTGTTTTTTCTTTCGTAATATTGTTGAATGATAACGTTTAAAATTGCTGAAGATGACACTTTTATGCCGTAAAACTCCGCGTTTGCACAGCCTCTGGATTATCGCGAGGCACAAACGAGTTCTGATTAAATTGCGGTGATGGCCTTTGACATCGCGATGTCACGAATTTGATTCCGACGACGATCGAAGGGACGAGCAATTGCATCAGCGTCGAACATTGACTTCGTTAATGTACTCGTAAGCCTAATCAGTCCCGGCCGCCGACGGATTCGCGCATCGTAATTAATTCATCTCCGTTCAACGGCCGAATAATTGTATTTCGCTTCTGACGCCTTTGGAGATCGAAATGTGATCACATAAAGAAATCCCCCGCGACGTACAGCAGTGCGATATTTATGGGAATTGATTCAACGCTACTTTGACATGCAGATCTAGGAAGAAAAATATGAAGTGACTGGAGAAAATCGTATGAGTCGCCAGAAGTAATTGACCTTGTCTGGCAAATTTTTATGTTTAAACTCGCAACGTTTCGACCGTGGTTTATGGTCCTTTTCAAGTGATAATTGTGTCAGTAAATCCGTATGGTAAGTCAAAAGAACTGATCTTGACTTTAGGAACGACAGAACATGTCTCACAATCAGTCAAGTAATCTTCAGAAGTTTACAAATATGAAGGTTGTGAAATTTAAAGAGAAAAAGTGAAAGAGATGCCACAGAGGCAATATCTACAAGAATATCATATTTCAAATACGGAAATGGGTCACAATGGAGCCGAACAGAGCAACAGAGTTACGGCTGTTTGCTCATCGTAGGTTTCTGGATTGTTTGCTTCTTCGGATTACCACGAAGAGTTTTCTATGGAAGAAAGTACTCGCCGCGCGTCGATAGTTGAGGTTCAGGTTCGTCCATTGTTCCTGGACAATCTTCGTAATACCGCTCGGCAAAATGTAAATGTATACGGTACACCCTTTAATCCTCGGCAAACTGTTGTCGATAGTTTCGACTTGCGAACGCGAAATCTCAAGCGTCTGTTAATCCGTTTAGTTACGACGATCGCAAACAATATTCACGATTCACATTTATTATACTTTTACGTCTGTTACGTGTGTCTGTGTCCGGAGAAACCATAAAGTCACAATGGAGATCAGAGATCATTCTTTAAATTGATCTCGATCATATGCCAATTCCTATCGCACGGTTACACGAGGCATTTAAATGAGAGCGTCCGTATCTTTCCCGTTGTTCACGAATGAACAAAGAAAAGTGCTTCGAGAAAGATTAATTGCATTGAGACAAGTTTGATATTCGACGGGACAGATATAATCATAGGAAAATGCGCGTTTAATCTTCTCGTCAGTATATTCATCTCCTCGTGTGTGTAACTTGTAACACTGTATACACGCTGTAACGTTCGCCTAAGAAATTTCGTATGCATAACCGGTGAAGATGTTCGCCTATTTCCATCTAAATGTCTCACTAAGCATGCAAAATTCAGAGGCTACTGTTTGCGTTCCTTCAGATATATAAATTGTTAAATATGAAATTATTATTAGATAAATTCGTATCTTTTTAATGAAGATTTAGAAAGCTCTCGGCCAGAGGTTTTTTTAATTTTCAACGACGTGGCAGTGAAGTACTCTTGCTAATCAAGGATTACGTTTCTGATAAAGTAAAGTTTAGTTGAAATTAACTGAGATGTAAGCTTCGATATCTAGATCGAGTTACTTACTAAAGTAAATAAGACTTTTAGAACTGATTAAACTTTTAATATTGCTGATGCATCGAAACCTCCTTTTTCAATTAGTTTAGATTATGGAATTCAATTGGAAAGTTCAGAATACCAGGATTCTTTATCCAATGCCGAGGATTTGAAAATGATAATGACGAGGAGTATAAATATACTCCTCCACTTCAAATAGAGATAATTCCAACAAGAAAATTCTTCGAATCGTCTTCCCTATTCATTATTAGAACAAAATCGGGAAAGAAAGAGACCGGTTTGTAATCTAATGTCCGTCCAGTCGCATCTTTTAAAGGCAGCGACTGGTTCCTCAGTGGTTCTTATTGTATTGACTGATCCAAAGAGATTTCTTCGAAACCTTTACTTCCTTTATTGATTGTCAAGTAAGAGAAGCCCAGGCAAACTCCCAAGTTTGACATTCTTTCACTGATTTCAGCTCCCCCTGTTTATTGCCTATCCGTACTAATCTGTGAAAAAAAGCTTGCCGTGTTGTGTCATCCGGCGGTCCGAGCAAGAAATTTCTTCAAAAGTCCCCCTTGTCCATTATTAAATAAAACTCAGAGGAGATAACTAGTTATATAATCTGACCAGTTGCACCTTTTTAATCGCAGCTACGACTGGTTCTCCATCCTAGCAACTGAAGAGAGATTTCTTGAAATCCTTCCCACAATTATCGAGGAGGGTAAACTTACAATTCGGCAAATTTCTAATCTGTTATTTTCTTTACTAATCAGTTTGATACACGTTCGAGAAACATTCTCGTCGCTTCCTGCCAGCCTGAGATATCTTCGCTCAAGGAACTACTCACGGTCTTCCGTTTTGCGTTATCTATCTTTTGTGTGACTACGCGACGGGCTTTCCATTATTCCCTTCACGAGCTCGACAGAAACTATGCTTGCACACGAATAATATAGGGAATGTGAAGGTACGCGGTCTGTTGTCTATGGTATGCCGCCGAGTTGCGTTTGCCATATTTCCGTTATTGCCAAGGCACAGCCGTGCGTCTTCGTTTCATAATAACGTTATCGTTTAAAATAACTTTAACGTCTCTTCCTTGAGAATTTTGCAGTAACTTCTCGTGTCGCTCGAAGATAAAAACAATCTCACTGCCCATTTGTCCATTTTACGCACCGTATATGGTAAATCATGAAAACAAATGCCGCCGAGTTGCGTTTGCCATATTTCGTTATTGCCAAGGCACAGCCGTGCATCTTCGTTTCATAATAACGTTATCGTTCAAAATAACTTTAACGTCTCTTCCTTGAGCATTTTGCAGTAACTTCTCGTGTCGCTCGAAGATAAAAACAATCTCACTGCCCATTTGTCCATTTTACGCACCGTATATGGTAAATCATGAAAACAAATGCAGCCTTTAGCTTATTAAGGGACGATTATCGTATATTTCTGCTCGTTTTCCCATAACGCATTGAATGAGGGAATTAATAACGCAACTGTGAATAAACCACAGACTTCTATATATTATACTAGACCGCTAACTGAGACGTTGGCAGTGAAGCCGCGTCGCCATCTTCAGTGTGGACAAAAGTGCATACACAAGGTGTCACATTTCGAAATGTAGCAATTTTAACCCTGTACCACTTATGTTAAGTATAGAAGTCCGTAGTTTCTAGACACCGTGTAGACGAATTTCTTGCCCACAGTAAAGATGGCTGCCGCTAAAAAATGCAGAAAGTGTAAAATGAGCCAGCTTCACGTCTGCCATACAAATTTACTAGAAGTTAGCGGTCTAGTATAATATATAGAAGTCTGTGGAATAAACTATTGCTGCCGAAGTCACAATTTCATTAGTGCACATAATGCACTATTTGCATACATGACATTATTAAATCATTTATGCGATAATTTAGTTATATAATTACGTGAAATGTCAATGCTGACGTTACGATCTATTACACGTTAATATTCGGATATTCTATTGTAGAACAGTCTGTTATAGAATTAATATGGTGCACAAATCGTACAAGAGAGATTATTTCATTTTCAACAATTGATATGTGTGTAAAAGGTACATATAGAAACGTACCAGCGTACGCGCGCACTATCCTTTATTGCCAATATGGCGAGTTAATGCATGTCAATATGTCGAAATTCAATAGTGCAAATACTCCATTTTTTTCATGTGAAAAATGTCACATTCGCGATAATATTAAAATCTACAGAAGCCACGAAAGAGACTTGTTTTAATGCATTTTCCAATTTATTTTATGTCACTTTCAAAATATAAACGGAGTTTGCCGATTGCTTGGCATTTATAGTCTGCCCTTTTTCTCAAGTGAAATATCAAATTGTTGTTGAAATTCGTGATAAATGTAGTGGCAAGCGAAAAACGAGGGAGCTTATTTTTCTGGCAAGTCACGATGCTAGCCACGAGCAACTTCGTGAAGAAAATCGATTCCCGCGGTCACTCGAGTCTGTTTGTTGAGATCCGGCCGCCAGTTCCCCGTAGAAGGAAAGTACCTTGTCTAACCCCGAACTGCCGTACTACCTGATTTTCCTGTCGTGTATTCCCGTCCGCCAACTTTGCGCGGAGCAAACACAATGATCCAACTCCGTATCGTAAAATGGCGTTCGATTTAATGGAATAAAATTGGAAAAAGCGGCCTTTCAGACATCAATCTATTTTTGCATTCGTTGCGCGTATTTTCTACAGGCTCTGTATTTCGACAACAAAATGGAATTGGCTGCGATACGTCAATAAATATATTCGTTTTGATAGACTTTAATTACTCAGCGAAATGACGTAACGATCAAAGTGACGAAGAAAGACAATCGCACGCACATATGAATTTTTCAATTCGAACTTTTGACAAACTCGTTCTGTATAAAAAGGTGTTACAGCGCTTTTCGAATTAATTTTTATATAAAGAATAAGTTTACGTCCTGTGAACGTTCAGACAATCTATAAATGAATAATGTTATATGCAAGAAGTTGAACCGTCAACTTAAAAAAAGTAAATTACATACGTATAGACGGGTTAGTATAAAATTCCATATTTTAAATTCACTCGATATTACTTGTCTGGCGAAGTAACTTATTTTTCGCTGCAATTTGCGAAAAATTGAAATAGAACACAAACTGCAACGAAGAGATTGACAAAGATTGTCTACCCGATCTTAAACCGGCAGTCGTGAACGAGCCGGATGAGGGTGACACTTTCCAGTTTCCCCGTTGCCTACAAAAAATCGCCCCTACCTAACCGGATTGACGTTCTCTCTGGGCTCCTTGGCCTTGTCCTTCTCCACCGGCGGCTTCAGCGAGCAAACATGCTCCTCCGACTCGTCCAGACTTCTATTCTGGCAGTCACACGTCGGCATCCCGTTTTCTTTTCAGTGCACAGAATTCACCACCTCGATTGTCAGTGGGTCGTCGCGCGATTTCCGGTGGAGGGTCTTGCGAGACTGATCTTTTCGCTTGGGACGTTTTCGGGGGACGTGTTCCGATCACTTCGCGGATCCGTTCGACTGGACGGTGCGAGCGATGAACGGCGCGTGACCGAAACGAAGCCGATGGACGACGTCGGGGAATAAGTTGGCGGTGATCGCGACGAGGATCTTTATACGTCGCTCGGGCAGCCACCATGCCTCGTTCCCACCACGTCGCTGCCAGTCGCAGCTGCCAATCCCCGGACACGTTTTCCTCGGACACACGCGTAACCGGTCGCGATAGCCGGCTCGGTGCAAGCACAAATCGTAGACCATCGGTGCAAATTACTCAGGGCTGACGGTAGCGCATGTACGCGGTGTCCGTCGGGGCGGACGTGCTCGAAGGGCGGTTTCAAGGGCCAAAGAGGGAACGAGGGACGGTCTACTGCGTTCGAGTCTTATCCGGTCGGGCAAATCTGTGGTAAAGGTGAAATTCTTATCGCGCACGTGATAAGAATGCACGCAGAGAACTTCTTTTCTCGCTGCTTCTATCGCTGCGAGAGCGAGTGTCGAAGTGTCGATTGGACGGCGCGAGATATCTTTGCGCAAATATGAAGATACTGCAACGTCTTCTTTTCATTTCCATTTGGGATTAAATGCCTCGATTAAGCACTCCGTGCTGGTAATCTCGTCTTTCCACCGACCGGTTTTTAATAGCTCGCTCCGTTCCTCACATGAATCCATCAGCCTCATCCAGTAACTACACTGAGAAAAATTTCCATCGGATAAACCAATTAAATAGTGTTTCCGGTGGTTAATTTTTCCGATTACATTATGGATACATATCCGATGAAATTTATCTGATGAAATGCAGCTACTGATGAAATTTCATTGAAAAACGATCATATTTTCCATCAGATATACAATTTAATTGGATATATCCGTTTGTTATTATGTCATTGGATTACCCGATTATATTTAATCGGACATTTTTCTCAGTGTACATTTCAGTGTTAGCGAATTCGATCTGTTTTAATTCGGAGCAACTGGAAAAGTTATGTCGTCAGAATTTTCTCTAAAAGAGGAAAGTTCCTTATTACGAGACAGACTCCTAATATGAGACAGCGGGGTTTCTACTAAATTAATAGACGTCGTCCGTTGGTCCCACCATGAATTTATTGCCCTCGGAGTGAGATCTGTTTAGTGGACAATTTATCGTTAGATCTCGCGTAATCGCCGCGAAGAAAAGACTGCGATTGATTTTAGATGTTGAAAACCTGCTGTCTCATATTTAGAACCCCATTTCACAATAAGGAATTTTCTTCTACCTTCTGAAGCGTCGCATCACCTAAAAGTGATTTCAATTTGTCAAACTAGCCTCTTCTAATAAATGACCGAAGTAGCTGGATCCCAAAACGTAGGAATTAATAATCCACGCTCCTCGCGAAACAAAGAAAACATCCTTGAACTCCGCATCCTATAAAGCGTCCGTCATCTCGAGTCGATCTTGGCTGGAATTGCGCGGATCGATTTTTTCGCGTTTCGCGAGCTGCAGCCACGAATAACAGCGCGGCATGAAATTCACCGCTTCCCTTTTCGCCAGACCGAGAAATTGGAGTTATTCTCGCGCGGCTACGAGGGTCATCGGAGACGTTACGTAACCAACCCCCCGGTCCACGAATGCGGCGCACACCTGGCCGCACCGAGGAAACGTAGTTCGAGATTCTTTTATTTCCCCTTGTACGACCATTTCTATCCTGGTGCGCATATGTGGGCGTATTTCTCCGCAGGGAATCTCACGGGGAGAGGGCGAGCTTCCCCGAGCAATTCGCTTATAAATTGTTCTCAAGCTTCCCGCGGGATATCGATAAATAAGTGTCATCTCGACGGGCCGGAACTGTTTTCTTAATAACGCGAACCACTTTAATTTCCGCCGTGCGTTTCGCACCAATGAGCGCGCGAAATTTTATATTGCCGAGGTGAAATACGCTTCTACTACATTTGCAATGAGAAAACTGCTCCTTACTATGTTAAAGGAGCCGCCATAATTTTTCCAAGTACGCGAAAATGAACTGTGGTATTACAGTAATTTTTAAGGATCGATTCCTGGCTACATTTCGACTCTCTTGATATAAAATTAGTGTCGCACGATGCATCCGACAAATAAATGTTTTCCGATTGCTTAATTATATTGCCAATAACATACGTGGATCACTTTTATTTCTGGCTTTTGTTGTGTCTGCATCAAGTCACGAGAAGCTTCTTCATGTACCTGGCACTGGTGGCACACGGAATCGATAATGATCTCACGTCGCGATGACGTTGGAGGCGTCTTCCGTCTTTCTGAAGCTCGGTCGTCGTTTATTTTGTCGAACACGATCACTTCGTGCCCAGGAAAAGCATTGTCATATATTTCACAATTCACGAGTCGGCATTCGTGCTTTACAAGCGAGACGGTCCGGAGCGGCAGACAGGAGTGTCGGTCGCTCGTCGATCTTTGTACGGCGTAGAGCTGGATCGTCGCTACTTTTAGACCGGCGATGCCAACCAATGCTTTACTTGCTGCGTCAGGTGCATCACTGCAGTTGAATCTTTTAGCAGGAGCGAAACAATCGAGATAGATGCGCGAGCTTAGAAATACTTCTATATTTAATATCTGATATTTAATATATTTCTGGCACAGATCGATAAGAATGGATATGCGTAGTTTAGTGAAATATTAATAGTATACAATATCGTGGATATTTACAATCGACAATTAAGAAAGAAATTTCTCGCGAACAAATATAAACGTAACGAAATCGGATTTTTTAACTCGTGATTTCAAGTTGATATTTAATTTTATATTATATTTAATTATATATTGATATTTAATTTTATATTATAATCAGAAATTTGTATAAATTAAATGGCAGCCTAGTGACACCAGTCAAGAAATCAAGAATTTTAATAAGTATGGAAACAATCTTACTGGCAATTCTCTATTATAATAAAATACAACGTTGCGGCCAGTAATACTGATCCTCTTCAGGTAACAAACTTACAAGGGTGCCTACAAATGTAAGATTCGTCAGATTAGAGATGTTAATTGACGGACGCGGCAACCATCCGGAAGCCATTACGACTGAAGAAGACAGCAGCCGCGAAAGCTTGAAAGCCAAGATGTTAATTAAATTAAGTTAGAAGTCGTTATACGAAGCACGTCCAGAAAGTAAGAGTACTGATTTTTTCACGGGCGTAGGGAATTGTTGTTGACAAAGTTGGTCACGCTGTGTTGTAGCGAAAGTCCTCCCGATTCGAATGAGACGTGGAACATCTCAGTACGACGAAAACTGTGGCCTTAACTTATATATTAACTTGACGTGCAAAACATGTCTATCAATCTCGCGCCAAGTGCGAGGTACGAGCCTGTAGAACTACGAGCTTGTAGTTCTGTTTTATATATAAAATTTATAATAAAAATTGTCTTTCCTTTCCTTACTTTTATTAATAATAATCAACCGATAATAAGAATGCACTCGTAGCGAAATCACACGATTCAGATTTAATATTTAACAGCAGTCATATTGAGTTGTGAGTAAAGAAACTTATGCGAATAAAGAGATTGCTTCAGAAAAGCTTCTTGACTGAAGCTGATCCTTCTGAAAGATCCGTCACGCGATGGAGCACGATAGAACGTGCACTTATTGCACCTCTGATAAAGCAGCATACGCCGAGCAGATATCAATCTTACGATTGTCGATTATCTAACAGAAAGCGTTTATATAGACGATTGATTAAAGGTTCGAATCAATTACAGAAGATTAATCCAATCTAGAGATGTAGTTTAATCTTCTTATTAAGAAAAAATGCTGACAATTTCGAGATATCACAGATTATAATCTGACCGTATGTCAGATTATAGATGTGATATCTCGATAAAAACTAACAGGGCCATAACAAAATGGAATACGCTGTCAATATTTTTATTTAAGAAAGTTTCGAACCCCAAAATTGCCCAAATTGTTAACAATTATTTGCCAGTCGTTTCTCAAACTGCGCGGATAGTTCTTGTTAAAACAAAAAAAAACATACCGCTCTGCCCAATTAATTCAGTCAACACGTCCAACGGTTTTCAATTTAATTACAAGCGCGTGTAAACTTCTTCCCGCTGTGTCGACACTCTTCGCCCGTTCCTGTTCTACTTATTTTAAGCTTGTTTTTCCTCGCGATAGGGAGAAGCAGTGGCCTCGTGCAAGCGAACAGCGATCACGTTGTCGTCCCTTTGCCCAACCTTTCAATTTCGCTTCCTATCGCACGCGTGACGCACAACAGCGAGCGCTTTTACGGCATCCATCCATTTTTGAATTTAATCGATGGTGTATGAATTGAATAAGCCATATCGTTCCACCGCAGGCAGTGACACTCCGGCGCTGTGATAATAGCCACGCCTCGGAACCGATATCTGATAGGAGCCGTCGATATCTCGCCGCGTTAAACTTTGAAACGTATGCGATCCGCGTTATCAGTCATAGGCGCGCGCAAACCCAGCCGCGCATTTGTAAATTCAAACTTAATGCAATCGACAAGTGCAATTGTATAATTGGCGCTCGGCACGAAACGTATAATGCAATATGCGGGAACGTGCGTGATCCACATTATGAATGTCAACACGGCATATAATGAGACGTGTGTGTCATCAGCTCCTAAACCGCTAACGGAACAATCATTCACTCACACACGATTCTGGGATGCGATGCCAAATACTCGTCGGCATGACAAACGCATAAATACACGCATACACCTTTGAACTTTTTCAACAGTAATTACAGTCGCGCATCCAACATTTCGTTGGTCCAGCCAATGAGAGGAAAGTTGTATGTGTGGTAATGTACATGACGCATGAATACCGGGTGTAACATTCCCGTGGGTGCACACTCGTGACCAATCAGAAATTTGCCCCAAACCTGCAAATCATTGCGGTTGAATGCAGCAAGAACCAAGGAACAATTTGCCCCTAAAATTGGCTACAATGTTTCACCTTGCATTTTTACATCATGGTTGTGTCGTTTGATGAGTGCGCACACGTACGCTGTTAAATTTAGACCGAAGACATGGCGGGATACCATGTGATCGGAACTGCAAAGATCAGAGGGGCCGACAGTATAAGGTTTGAAGGTACAATTTTTTAATTCGTGAGATTCTATCAACACTATGAGGTATCGAGATATAAAATCATATTGCGCTGCAAATGTTAAGTATTACGGTCGTAATTTTTAAATGAGCGCAAATTACTTTTAAATTACGTTTAATTTGTACACGTATGTGTATAATAGTAATTTTTAACAAGTGATAGAAATATCCAATCCAACTGTAAAAGTTGCCTT